CTAGCAGGTGCAGTTTGTTTCACTGAGCCGATCTCCTGTTGCTTCTAGGATCTAATAAGTCTGCTTGGGCAGACTGTGTCTATTAAACTGCTGTTAATGGCAGTGGATTCAGCTGGGCTTTTGGCTGCCTTAAGGAGCCTGTCCTATTGCTACATGTAGTTAGATTATCCCTGGGAGCAATGGCTAGTCAATGTACCACCAGGAAGACTGCCAAATATCTAACAAAATCTAAAAATAAATGGGCTTCCTAACCTTACAAAATCAAGTCTTTCTAACTGGCTAAGCTGGAATCATCAAATCCTTAGGGTTGGAAGCRACCTCTAGAGATCATCTAGTCCAACCCCCCTGCTCCAGCAGGGACACCCAGAGCACAGGGCACAGGGTGACATCCAAATGGAGTTTTAAGATCTCCAGAGGAGACTCCACAGCCTGTGCCAGGGCTCYGTCACCCTCACTGTCAGGAAATTTTTCCTTAAGTTCCTGGGGAACTTTAGATGCCTCAGCTTGTGGCCGTTTCCTCTAGTCCTGTCGCTGGCCACCACTGAAAAGAGGCCGCCCCCTCCTCCTCACTGCCTCCCTTGAGGTATTTATACACGCTGATCAGGTCCCCCCTCAGCCTTCTCTTCTCCAGGCTGAACAGACCCAGCTCTCTCAGCCTTTCCTCATAGGACAGATGTTCCAGGCCCCTGATCATGCTGGTAGCCCTGCGCTGGACTCTCTCCAGCAGCTCCACATCCCTCTTGTCCTGGGGAGCCCAGAACTGGACACAGTCTCCAGATGTGGCCTTACCAGGGCTGTGTATAGGAGGTCGATCACCTCCCTCGACCTGCTGGAGAGACCCTCTTCATGCACCCCAGGATCCCGTTGGCCTTCTTGGCCACCAGGGCACACTGCTGCCTCATGGTCAACTTGTCGTCCACCATGACACCCAGGTCCCTCTCTGCGGGGCTGCTCTCCAGCAGGTCCTCCCCTAATCTGTCCTGGTGTCCGGGGTTATTCCTCCCCAAGTGCAGGACCCTGCACTTGYCCCTGTTGAACCTCATGASGTTTCTCAACGCCCAGTCGTCCAGTCTGTCCAGGTCCCTTTGGATGGCAGCACAGCCCTCTGTGGTATCAGCTACTCCTCCCAATTTGGTATCATCAGCTAACTTGCAGATGGGGCCCTTCATCCCTTCATCCAGGTCGTTAATGAATAAGTTGAACAGGACTAGACCAAGGACTGACCCCTGGGGAACACCGCTAACCACAGGCCTCCAGCTGGACTCCGCACCACTGATCACCACTCTCTGAGCTCTGCCCTGCAGCCACTTCTCAATCCACCTCACCGTCCACTTGTCTGTCCCACACCTCCGGAGCTTGCCCAGGAGGATGCTGAGGGAGGGTGTCCAAAACCTTGCTGCAGACCAGCTAGATGACATCCACCACTCTGCCCTCATCTACCCAGCCAGTCACTCCATCTAAGAGGGCCAGCTATAGAGCAGGCAGGAACCCTGGTGAGTTCTGGCGGCTGCTGGTGCCATGATCTCAATCACAGCCTCTTCACCTGCCCAGGACCTCGCCAGCAATAGTGCTCTATCCTGCTGCAGCTCAGCTCTGCCTCCTGCTCTGCGTTTTGAATGAACGAACAGCAGCAACACAAACCACCGAGGAGCTCCCTTTCTTCTGCTGCATTTCCCACAACTGCTCAAATGCGGCACAGGTCGCTCCAGAGCTCCCTGTGATGCCCTCACAGCTCCAGCCAAAGGGCACATCACTTTATTTTCTTACTCTTCTACCTTTGATCTTAACTCCAATTTCTGTTTCTTTCTACTTACAGTTTCCTCAGCACTTGCTACTTTCTCCTTCCTGACCAGGGCTCCAAAGACACTGGCAACTCCTGAGATTTTGCTTCCACTTTCCCAGGTACCTCAAGGAGTCCTATCTTCAGCTGGGAGAAGGAAGAGGAGGAAAAGGCCGGCTAGGAGAAGCTCTTGCTGCAAATGCAAACACTAACATAGTAAGGTGAAGCAAGAAGGAAGCATTAAACATTTCCATGTGCAAGGTATTTAAAGCATGGAGATAATATAAGAGCAGCTTTTCTCCTGGAAGGAATGCAACACTTAGGGATACAATTAAAAAAGCATTAGTGTCTGCAAATATTTGGCATTTTTCCAGAGATTTTATTGGATTTTACATGGCAATACACAGTAGTTATGCTGCCCTCTTCAACAACACACAACTTAAAATACCACCACGGTACCAACTGTGTGGGCACGTGCATGTTGACTTTTAGCACTTGCTTTCATGTTACACCCCCCCATTAAAAAAAAAAAAATCAAGTTCAGAGGATAGGGAGCTTCGAAGGGTCAAGCTGTTTCCCAACCAGCACATGCAGAAAAGGATTCTTCCCAACAGAATTCTATTTACACTGCTCTTAAACCCAAATACTCCTTCGCAGCTCTTGATCTGCTCCTTAACAGCACTGGATTGAAATGAAACCTGCCCGAAGGAACCGTGGATTTAGCAGAAGAAACCTGGGTGCGAGGAGTCATCCTGGCCGTGCCGGTCTGCGGGGCGCTGCCACCGGCCGCTTCCCGGTTCCCCCGCAGTCCCGGCGGGAAGGCGGCGCTCGGCCGGAGCGGAGCGCGGAGCATCGGCAGCAGGAAGAGCAGCTGCCCGTGCCGGCTGCCCCCGAGCGCTGCAGCGGGGCCCGGACCTGCCGCCGGTGCGCAGGGACAGGCGGACGACCTGCAGGTCGCTGATACCTTTGCAGGACTTGCAGGGTCTCCAGGTTGGAATGAGGTGTCAGTACCAGCTGCCGTCGTCTTGTTGGCAGCTCACGAGCGGCACAAATCTTGCTTGTTTTTCTTTGAAGACACTATGGATTGTTTGGCTGGCTCCGGTTATGCAAGAGGAAAGGGCAGCACTTGGTGTTATGTGTACGCAACATGACTGCTCCTCAGCAAATTCTTCATCTCTGTACACAAATAGCAGCCGAGCCTGCACATCCTTCGAAGAACCAGACTGGCAAAGCCTACAGGCTCCTAACAGCATCACGGCAGAGCTGGTCTGCCAGCTACTCCAGCATCTAACAGGACCATCTCTCAAAGAGCCTCTCTTCCTTTCCTAACAACTTTGGCAACCACAGTCCAGGAATATCAAAGCAGCACTAATCATCTCACCTCCTTTATGCCATCTAAGCCATGTGTCAAAGCCAGCCTCCCTTCCAACAGCAAAGGCTGATGAAACCAGTGACAAATTCTTGCCAAGGAACAATTCCAGCCGTGCTTTTTTTTTTTTTTTTTTCTCCTGTACAAAGCAAAGCAGCATCATGCCATAGTGCTCAGATACATGCAACATTCAGCACCACACAAAGGACCATTTTGACACACTGAGTTACTTTTTTGTTTGCTTTTGGCTAGGACACCTTGTAATACAGAACGTCTGACAAAAGATATCCACTGGCTAGTTAACAATATTTAAAACCTGGCCTGCAAAGCAGAACAGACTTGTGCTTTAAGAAGGTAAAATGATGAGCAACATGTTTGCTATTTCTTTTTTTTTTTCTGGAAAAGACCCACCTTAGGGTTAATATTATGAAATAATACATTTCCTATACATTTCTCTATATAATTTTTTTTCTTGCAACTACACTATCTTAGCATTAGTCACAGCACAGAAATATCCCTTCCATACGCAAGGAATACTCTCAGCTTCAAGAGGAAAATTTCCCTCAAAACTTTTTAAGACYAAAGAAAATGGCAATAACCTCGCCTGAGTGCTAGAACCGCTGCTGGAAGCAAGGAGGAGGATGATTTGAAATCTGCAGCTCCTGCAAGAGTCACTGCAAGAGGAAATACGCTTTGGAACGGCTTCACCCCAAATGGAAGATCATTAACTGTGCGTTTTGCAAAAAGGCAAGAAAGCAAAGAGTCTGTAAGGTCAGCCTGCCCTTTCCAGTAACCAGCTGGCATGCAAACTGGGATAAATCTTTTTTACAACTCTTTCCCCTTCCCCCACACCTCAAACTTTCCATCACTCTATGTCACAAAATTTAAATTTCTGCTTTTATATGTACTTTATATACTTTCTTCTTTTTCTTTTTTTTATAAAACAGTACAAAAATAATAGCAAGAGTTAAGAGTTACCTGGGAGATTATGCAGGGCACGAATAACTAAAATCCTATGTTGGGTACTGTGGGAAAGGCAGAGCTGGTATTTGTGCTGGACAAATCCATTTGAAAAGGACAACAGTGACATCTTTTCTCAGCCGAGACCCTAGAGAAAGCTGATGCACGACCTCTACAGATGCAATATTTTCTACCTAACATCTCGTGTTACCTTAGCCCAGTATAAAGGGATACCTCAGGGAATGAGTAAGCAAAAGGAGCACTGTGATAACACGCAGATTTAAATGCAACACTCTGCAACATACCATCAGTTTGTACATTAAATAGAGTAAAAACAGTTAGCATTCACCAGTGTCTGGGTGTTTCTTATGGCAACTTCGAAGTAGGCACCTTTTTTACCGATCGTTCTCATTTGCAGTTCTCGACCCCCCAGCAGCACTTCTAACAAGCAGAAGCAGGAGCGGCGCCGCGGGCGGCGTGTGCGGCCCGCGACGCAGAGCGACGACGACGACGACACGCTTCTCGCGCGGAGGAACGGGAGCCTTGGGCAGCGCCCGCCCGCTGCTGTCACACGTTGGAGTCCTCGTCTGTTATACTGGTGCTCGGCGAGCGAGTCGCAAAGTCTTTAAACATTTCGTCTTCTTTCAGCATGTGCTGGAAAGGAAAGGAGGGAAAAGTCAGGGCTCCGGCCCTCGTGACCAAGACCAACCCAACCAGAACCTGTCCGGGCTCCGCTGTGAGCGCTGCCGCCATCGCTTCATCGCGAGACGGCCAAGGTTTCCGGACACATTTCAGAGAAATGGCTCATGCTTACTGTCAAGTTGTTGATGCCTTCAGAAAATGCTCCTATTTGCCTCACGGTCCCTTCCGAATCTTCCATCTGCAAGAAGCAGATAATAGGAGACATAAATTTTGCACTAACCCAGAGGRTAGGTAGCAAAAGATACAACCGTTTGATTACACCACACAAGGCCAGGGGAAGGGAGGAAGGTGTCCAGCCAGGAGGGAAAAGGGCTGTTTTACCAGGCTAACGATGCTGYAGCCACAGCCTGACCCTTCCTGTGTTGAGAGGCACGTGCCTGGTGCTGCGTGACCGTGAAAAGCCACAGCTTTCCAGGGCCCAGCCTAAGGCACTGACAAAGGAAGGCTTCTCCATCCAACTGGACAGCATGCAAGGACTCCCAGCTGCTACGAGTGCTTTACCTGCTCCAGCCTGTCCAAATCGTCATCGTCATACACTCGGATATCCAGGCCAGGCTTAAAACCTTTCTTTGACACACCTCCAGATGCCCGTCCCAGCTCCATAGGACACACATACTCTTCCACATCATCCTGCTTCTTCTTCCTCAAACTCCCAAAATTGCTGAAGGCAAGTTTCTTTGGCTTATAAACAAAGGGAAATTGATAGGAAAGAAGTTAGATGGTTGGTAAAGAATTAACAAATTTCTTACGCTTGTATTTGGTGTTTTAATGAAGATGAAGAGGGATCAAAATCCCACTGCTTTCCTAACAAAGACCTTTTGCACGGTCATATTTCACCACAGTTCTGTTCAAAAGAACAAGATACATAACCTCATTCTCCTGAGCTACACAGGAGCATTTACAGGATCCCCAATGAGATGAGAATCCTACTGCAGCCTAAACGTGGCCAAAAGGAGCACTGGAAATCTTCCCGTGCACCTAGGAGCTCGTGCACAGAGCCCCAGCCTGGGACCTACCTTCACTTTGGCAGTTGCTGTCAGGAGGACGTAGTCTGGGGACTCCATGGCCTCGCGTTTCTGCTGCTGGGCCTCCTGGCCGATAAGGAGGTTGAAATGGGTCGCCAAGTGCCGCCGCAGCAGCGTCTTGTTTGGCGGGATGTTCAGCAGCTGGGCCATGGTTTCCACGTTGAAACGAGGCTCTAAGACCTGTTAACCAGACMACAGGGAGCCCACCTGAAATCTCCACTGCCTGTCTGATGAGGTGTCACAAGATACACCATGGAATATTTAACCACCAGCCCCTTCTAACTCTGGAAGATGTAGCCAGAGGAATGATGACAACAAACAGCCTTAGAAATTCGGAGAAGGGATGTATTTCTCAAACAGCACCATAAGCTTCTGGAAATACGAGTTTCTTGCCCAGAGCACTTGACGTTCGAGTCATTAAAGACACTGCTGGTCTGGCATGGAATTAYGAACTCTACCGAAGACTCGAGACTTCCTCGCCCACGGAGAGCCCACTGAGGTCTAGGAGGGGAGATGGTGGCTACTGCACAGCGTGAGGGCAGCACACAGCCCCACAGGGCAGCAKGTGGAGAACACCACACCAAAATGAAACCCTCAGGGGATTCTAGGTCACCAAACCCACTGCTTTTGGCCATGACATGTCTTAAATAAAAAATTTAAACAAATTTTGACAAAAAAAAAGAGAAGATAAAATAAATATGCGTGCAGCCAAGATGTCAGACTGTCATTCGGGGAGTGTGGGCCCCACTGTGTTTCCTGCCAGGCGGCGGGAGCTTACCATGAGGCCGCCATGCACGCCGCTGCCGCGCAGGTTGGGCGCGTACTCGGCGAGGTCCACGGAGCGCAGCCACTCCATGACGCGGTGGTTGGTCCACTGCGTCACCTCCAGCGGGCTGACGTTGTTCTGCGGACAGGAGCGGGCGGTCACGGAGAGCTCCTCACTGCCCGCCCCGGCGCCAGGCTTGGYGGCAACCCTCCCTCGCGGCCCCGAGGAGCACACGGCCGCTCTGCACGGGAGCAGAATTCCCATTTCCCGCACTGCGGATGCGCCTCGGGACTCTGGGTACATCCAAGGCCCTGGTTTGCCTCCTCACCCACTCGTCACGGCTCTATCCAGCCTACGCTGCTTCCAAAACAAACTGRGGGCTCAAACAACTGGTTCCCAGCTGGTAAAGGACAAGCTCATCTTGTGCAGAAAACTTGGAGAGAGCCACAGATTCCACTGATTTACAAAAGGACTCRTGGGAACTGTGCATCAAGTTGAAGGTGACAGAGAGAGCACATGAGACACCAGCCCTAAACAGCCACCTCTTAACTACAAAGGGGAGGCAGGAGGACGTGACTCAGGGCCATGGCTTGGGCAGGAGCGAAAGTGCCGTTCCAACCGGAGAAGGCAGGATGGGATAGTTGGAAAAAGCAGAACAGGATAAAGGAAAATGAAGAAGAAACAAGAAAAAGCAATGCAAGAGGAAAGGCCAAGGCAGCAACAATGAGGAATACCACGAAAAACAAACCCTTGAAGATCCCTCTTGACAATTTAGTCTTAGAACAGCAGTACCTACCTCATCAGACGGCCTCCGGCGCAGACAGTTGGGTTCAAAGTTATTTATCCGCAGCACCTGAATGGCTCTTTTGATGCTGAGATGGTGCAGGACGCTGACAACTTTCAAGGACAGCAAGTCGTCCTGTGGAAGAGTGAGGGAGAATCAATAAGCAAACATGCTTCTTAATGGAAGCAACACCTGCCTGGAGGAGACAGCTTAGGCTTCTGGCTTAAAATGCCGCATGCGACACATACTGGGTTAAGTTTATAATATTTAATAGATGTGGCTAATATGAAGCTCTCCACTCCCAAAGTAAAAGCTTCTCGTATATTAGCAGCTGGGGCAGGCTCTTCACGCCTGGTGCAGAGCTCAGTGCAAGACCTCCGGGACAAGGATGAGGCAGGAGGCTGAGGGCACGTCCTCAGCGGCGCAGTGAGACCCCGAGCGGTGTTCCAAGCACAGTCCAGCCCACTCCTTTCAGGTATGCATTTAATCCAGCCACAAGTCTCAATACCATAAACTATTGCTTATCAGGAAAAATACTCTAAAAATCACAGGCATCTCATCCTCTTGCAAAATACAAAAGAAAAGGTCCACGCTCTTCCCTGCGAGGCAGCAGCAGCACTAACGAAAGCAGCTGGTTCCTTCACCAAATGTTTGATCCTCATTATGTTTTTACTCAAAGGTTAATCCCTCGGAGGGATCAGTTAATGGCTCACACAGACCAGCTCTCCACTGTCAATGGAAAGAGATGGGCATCTCCTGAGGACAAGCCTGTCCCATGTCAAGAATGGGCTGCTGCCTCGCGGTGCCCCTCTGCACTGACAGCCAGTGCAGAGCAGTTGGACTCTGGGGCTGAGTGAGATGAATTCCCTCTTGGTGACTGCAGTAGCCAGTAGTTTTGCTCAGGCTCCAGGGAAACTCCCTGGTTTTGTCCTCAGGGTTCCCTCAAACCTACCTACCACCGAGGAAGGAAAAGACAAACAGAGCTTTCTTCTACCCATGCAGGTTTACCACGTACAATACATCTATGGGCGAAGGAAACAACATTTAGACCAGGCTTAGAGGTTAAAAAAGAAGAAAAGGCCATCAGTGCTACTCAACATCCCGATCTACCTGCAGGTTTGCAGCCTATGCAATGCAAACTGTGACACCTTTTGCCTTCATGTGGATTTATTCCAGCATCTACCCCAGAAAGTGGGCATTGCCAAACCAAAGGGAGCAGATTCCCTCTCATTCACGTGTCAGCCCAGGCTGCAAAGCTTGCAGGGAGGTGCCCACCACAGGCTTGGCCAGATGCTGCTGCTCCCGCACAGCTGCTGCACTCCCAAAGGGAATGAAAACACCTTCCTGCACTGTAAGAGCAGGAGAGCTCTTGCGTTCTTGCCAAGCTGGGCTCTTAAGACGGGATTCAAGCCTAACTATGTCATTAAGGGTCTCAAGGTGCAGTTCTTTGCTGCACTCGGATGGGTTTATGCATACTTATGTCGGTGCTAATCTGCCTTAATATGTTCTAGTATTACTTAGGCATTAAAAATAGTTGTGTACTATGTGTATTTCCTAGCAGGAGTGCCTACTCTGACTGCGTTCAAACTTCCCTTCTGGCCACTTGCATGAAGAGAGATGAAAATCAAGGACTCCCTGGACACTTCAGCTGCTCACTACAGAGAGATCTGTCGATGAACCCCTACTTCTCCTGCAGGATTTCTACAGACTTCTCAGAGACTCTTCAAGCTGGTGATTTTCATTTCAGCTGGTGATTTTCCTTTCAGCTTTTAATCAACTTCAAGCTACACATTCAAAACTTAACGAACTATGTGAAGCTTARAAATTTTAATAGTTCTATAAAAAACAGATTCTATTTTATATTGTCAGAAAAAAAAGTATTAAAACATAACTTACCACTCAGAATTTTCAGTGCCTTTGGCTATCTTTATGATGAATTTATCATTCATCAGAGTTTCTAATCATCAGAGTTTCTATTCGGGAGTTTGCTATTCTAGTTTAAGTCAAGGTAGCTTGATGAGATTTTAAAAAATATTTCTTTATGCTTTGCACACAGCTATACTTATACTTCACTACTGACACTGGAAATCTTGTTGCAGCTTGATGGTTAAATCCCTTCTAGAAATACACAGGGTGATCTAATATCAAGAGGAAGTAGAACATGAAAAGGACTTCAAGGCAAAACCTCTGCTGCACATCTCTCCTCTGCTCACCTATTGTTTTGGGTTTTTTTTTTTAACAGGAAAAAGACTAACTAGAATAATACATAACCCACTACATTTCAGCCTTTGCTGTGCCCTTCCTGCCCTGAGCACTCACACACAGTTAACATAGGAATAAAGTTTCCCAATCCAAGCCCATGTTCAGTGCAGCCCGCTGGCATCGGATCACGAAGCCTTAAGAAAAGAGAGGAAAGAAAGGGCCTCCTACTCTTGTATCAGTGTCCAAACTCAAAACACCAAAGGAAACAAACACAAAAGAAATACACCAAGCAGGATGGTTGAGAGTCAGTCTGACCTGCTCAGGGCCCACCCACTGACTACAATGAAAACGGAGCAACTCCTCTGGTGCGGGAGCCGCAGCGCAGAGGCGGGAGCGACTCGGGCCCCACGCCTGGCCCYCTCTGCTCCTCACGCTAGGCGAGAGCTAAAACAGACCCAGCCTGGGCGTCCGGCCTCCTGGCGCTAAGGTAAAGGCCACACAAAATGCATGCAAATCCCAAGCAAATCGAAACCTGGACTCTGCCCACGGCAGAGCTCATGAGGGAACAGCACTGAGCGATTTTTGCTGTGTTATATGGAAGGAAATAATACCAGTGTTTGCATTTGTGTCTCCAGAGAAGCACCAAGATCTCATCTCATCTTACCTGAGATCYTAGCAGCCTTTAAACAACTGAAACCTGTGGGGTTGGTTTCACCTGGCGAGCAGAAAACGGGGGGGTGAGGGGTGTCTGACGCCAGTGTTTTACATTCTGAAACGCACTATGCAAATGTGATCAAACGCAGCCTGTTTTCAAACCAGTTGCCACTTAAGACTRCACTTCCCTTCAAAGCAAATAGCTTGGGTTCTCTCACCCCAAGAGCCACATGAATGAAGCAGACCAAATATTTGCTCACCGAAGAAGAGAAGCAATTCCCCCTCCTCCTGTTACAGAAGAACAACGGGAAGAGCCAAGGCCCGGCTCTTCYCAAGCGCCCAGAGCTGGCACCCATCAGAGCTGGCCTTTACTCACCACGCTCATGTAGTGGAGCATTCGGCCGTCCACCTTCCCCTCGTCAAACTGGGTCTTGTACTGGGGCAGTCCAATGTCGTCCAGCCACCCTGAGGGAGCAGGAGCAAGACCCAGGAGGGTCAACGCGGCACTGGCACCTCGGCGCCCGCCGCCACCCGGTGCCCTCCTCGCTCCCCGAGCAGCCCTCAGCCCAAGCTGCAGCACGTAACAAAGCCTTACTGGTGACCCAGTGGTAATCCAGCTTCCCATGGTTGTTTTCCTCTTCGGAGCCCAGCGCCTGTAGGGCAAGCTGAAGCTTCTTCCGGTGCAACGGGTGCTTTATCCCAAGCTCCTGTGGCAGTAAGAGAGCAGAAAAGCTGGAGACAACGCTCTGTTTCATTTCTCCCTTTGCTCTACATGAATTACACAGGGTTTCAGAGCATCAAACAGTAAACCGCATTCACACAGGAAACTGCAAACAGGAGTTTTTGCAGTTTAGCTGGAAGTGCAGCTCTCTCAGGCTTGCTTCAATCACATATATACATTTTTATCAGCACTTGCTATTAATAGTACCTCTAAATATTACAAGCCACCAAGTCCATACTGCACTTCTCTTATTTCAGTTATAGTATAGCTACAACTTTGAATCAGCTCACTAGCYAACAGAGAAACTGATTTAGGAGAGAGCAGTATTTTCTTAAAAGCTGAACATTCAAACACTGACATTCAAACCAAAGGGAATCAATCCTAATTTTTGTTTTACAAAACAACATGTAACCAGTTCTGTCATGAAGTAAAAGARAGTGATCCTCAGGCTTCTCTGTGTAAAATAGGTGTGAAACATAACCAGACCACAACAACAACGTTTAGACACATCTTACGCWTATAGTATATAAATAATATTAATATTATACAATATATTAATATATATTGTGTATATATRTGTGTATATATTGTATTATATGTATGYGTATGTATATATAGTGTATTATAGGTATATATACATAAAATATTGTATATTATATATTATAATATTGTGTACATATAATATTGTATAWTATATATTATATAYGCATATACATACATATACATATATACATACGTATATGCATATATACATATATGTAAATATATAGAGTAACTCTACAAACCACAAGAACTAATGAATGAGGAGTAAAAATGTGTATGATAATGAGACATTTGCATGTTTTGAAAAAGTGGCAGGAATAATTGATGTTTTCAYGCCTCGTGAAATTAAATTACATACTTGTGATTAGTATTTTCACTACAAGATACTACCTTTTTTGGGGTAAATTAAATTAAAAAAAATCAATTTTGCAGTATCGCAGATGATAATATTTTGAAGACTCACCTTCAGGTACTTCTTTATATTTATTGTCTGCACTTTACAGATGTGATATTAACACGCACAGAAATGCCAGTGTTTACATAGTGTTTCTATTTAATAGAGAAGAGCGTTTCCAGCCTGTCTCACCTTCTCCAGGTCCTGCTGAGAAGCCTGCAGAAGCGTTTGCCCAGACAGTATCCAGTGTTTGCCATTGCTCATGTAAGAGCCTAACCCTTGGTCCTGGAGCCAGTTGCAAACCTGCTCCTTTGTCCACTTGGCGAATGGCATGTCCAGCTCACTAAACGTGAATTAATAATAAAAAAAAAAAAAAGACTAATGAACCCTGTGCCCCAAATCTTCTCAAATAGGACTGTGATATTTTTGTGGTGGTCTCTAAATCACAGCTGGTTCTCCTGCCAGCCAAAGGCTGCATTGGGAAAGCCCTGGGAAAGAACTGCTTCCCTTGGCCGTGTGATCCCACCACCCATGGCCTCCCCGCTCCAACGCAGCCTCGGCCCCGGGACCACCACCCGCTCCAGCTGCCGAGAGGGCAGACACCTCGTTCTGGGAGGGCGATCAGGGGCTGCAGGGCACCCTGTGCTGCTCCTCTTACTTGTGGGCCTGCCCCAGGTCTCGCGACCAGCCCAGCCGGGGCCCCGCAGTCGCTCTCGTTCCTCCTCGTTTGAACTCCGTCTCGGACATGTCGTCCGGGTTGAAGGTGGTGGACTGACTCCTTTTAAGCCTGGATCAAAGAAAGAAGTTGTATTCACATTTGGCTGAGGAAGGGATGTGTTTTTATTACTGCAAACAATATGGGTATGATTCCCAGTGGTGTGAACAGCCTTTCCTTCCTGCCCTGCTGAGCAGCTGCAAAGCCATAGAAGCTCTTGCAACAGGCGCTCCAACCCTCAACAGTGCCTGCAACCACCCCTGGAGAAGGCCATGGAGCCACAAGACTATTTGCATCCTCTCTCAGCCCCAGGGGAATGGTCGTTCCTCATCTCTTACTTACTTTCCAAATAACTTCTTGATTCCCCTGGCCTTTTTCCTGGAATCCGGAGAAGGTGGCGTCATCTGCAAGCTCTCGGTTTCCTTCGGTCGAGGGGGCAAACCAGCCAGATCCAAGTGATCTGCAGATCCCTTCTCCGTTTCAGCTATTAGAAAAGGAAGCCCAGTCAAGACTGCTCTCCGGCAGACCTTTACAGAGGCACTCCTGAATTCTGGAATGACTCTGGCTGGGACTGCTGAGGAGCACCGTGTTTCAGAACACGGGGCAACGAGGATGGGAAAGTGCAGGTGGAARAAGCTATGCTCCCCTCCAGGGACGGGCCTGGCTGCCAACACTGCAGCAGTGATGCTCTGCACTGGGCACCTTGCATCTAATGTAGGCAAACAAAAAACCCAAACCCGCCCAATGGCCCAATTAATGAGTGATCTCCCCAGTTCACTTMCTCTTCCAGAAGGGCTCCCACAGCCATTTCCCAAGTATTCTCGGGGTTCACATAAGCCCAGGAACAAATCAGTGGTGGGGCAGGAGACTGAYCCCCAAAACCAAAAATAGTTCCCCTGAGATATCTTTCCTAATAACCTGCAATAACTTTTAAGAGCCCAAACCCAAGAAATTCCAGTAATGAGTAATTCTCCCCACCCCAAAACCAACCAACCCCCTTGAAAGTGAAAATAATGAAGTATTTTGTTTCTGGGCAGAGAAATACCATGAAGTTTAGGCTCTTTCTGAAYTACCATATCACTGATTTTCTCTCTCTCTAAAGTAGAGGGGTGCAGGGAGCCCCTCTGCTCAGTGATGCTGCACATTCCCATCTTGTTTCCTGTGGCAGGAAACCTGAGGGCCCCGTCCTCAGGAGTGAGGCTGTCACAAGACTGTGCTTGAAGAAGAACAAGAAAGCCAAGCTAAGCTAAGCTAAGCTAAGCTAAGCTAAGCTAAGAAGAAAGCTAAGTTAAGAAGACTACTCAAAGACTACTTTAAAAGCGAGCATTTTAAATGAAAACTAAATGGATGGCAACATCTACTGGTCTACATGAGCAGTGGTGGCCCAGCAAGTGCCAGGGAGCCGAGCAAAGGGGTCGTGGGGCGTCTCTGCCCCCTTCCTGCTGAGCAGAGGTGGCTCCCGGCTCCGGCAGCAGCCTGGGCAGCRGAAGCAGCCGCGGCCACCAGGCAGCCTGCGGCCGGCAGACGCTTTTCCGACACTTTTCCCACCTTTCACTGTTTGCTGTGCGATCAGAAGAGCGTCACCGTATGCATTAAAGGCCACAAACTGCAAGCTGTGTCAGCCTGGCTTTCAGCTGGGCACAGCGTTGATGCACCAGCCAGAACACATCCAAGCGTGTCCCCTTTTCCTCCTGGATGCAGCACCCGGAGGTGGGGCACCAAGGCCACGCAACAGGAGGATTTCTGGGCACGCAGGTTTGACTGCGGTCGAGTCAGGGCATCCTGCTGGCGAGCGGCAGCGCTAGCGTTGAACCTGGCTTTGCGTTTGCGGCTTTTGCTTTACCAATTTGAAGAAAAAAACTAGCTTAAAATAAAACAAAACTGAAAAGCAAACATAAAAAAAACCCCATACAAACAGCATTCTAGAGCGAGGGTACCAGAATGAGGCTGGATGAATTAGCAGCAGAGATTTGCGGGTGCCGCAAACTGCTCCTTGTCCCTGGCTCCCCTTCCCGCCCGGGGCCAAACCCGCGGGTGGCGAGCCGGGAGCGCGAGGGCGCCGGTGTCCCCCGCGGGGCCTGCACGCAGCGCAGCGCAGCCGCTGGCGTTAGTGGCGTCACGGAGGGCGCGGAGCAGAGGCGCCGGCGCGGCCGGCGGGGCGGGCATGCAGGTGTCCGTACCTAGCGTAGGCGCGCTCGCGCTCCGACTGCGATCTTCCAGGGCCGGGACCACGCGGAGGGACGAGGCAAAACACAGGGCGAAACGGAGGTCAGYGAAACACAGGGCCAAAGGGGGGAGGCACGAGAGGATGCACACGCCACACGGGGATCACGGCCCCGCTCATACAGGGGGAAACGGGGGAGAGGGCCGAGCGGCACCGCGGTCGTGTCCGTGTGGGATTCGCACGGGCTCGTGGGGGGTGCCCCGGACCCCCCGGCATCACAATCCGCTCCTGCAGGTTCACACGGCCCCTGCAACCGCCACTACAGCTCGGCTTGCATTTTTCAGCTGCTTTGGCCAAATGAGCTTCAAGGAGGAACAAGTGATTATGTAAGGGCACATATGAAATAAATCCCAAAGTCTTGGCTTTGCATCTCTGCTGAGCAATTTTGTGTGTTTTACACCCCAGGAAATGCGGGCGCTGTATAACAACACACATGTGGACGTGCTATTTCTTTTGAACCAAGTCCTAGAATTATCTTTGGTCAAATAAGAGCAGGAGACTCTTCTGCTCAGCAGAACAGAAGCTAATCCTGTTGACCTCTCTGGAAGACAGATCCAATTTCCTATTTTTTTTTCCAGGGAGAGCCAAAAACTTCAGCAGAATGGCTGTCCATGTGATGTGCAGACTCCCTTGACACTTGAACTGGAAGGGTGGGAAGACTACGAGAGGAGAGCAGCTAATGTAGGTAGGTTCCCATTCTTTGGTAACAGCTAATTTTGTATTAATCCAAATGTATTGTCTTTTGCCTGGTCATATGTAAATACCATCAAAAACAAACCAAAATGAAAGCCCATCTATCACAAGTCCAGGAGTCAACACGGGCTCGAAAAACTTGTCTGCCCCATTCCTGCTGTCACAATCTTGGCTGGGCTACTTAAAAAACACAGAAATAAATCAAGAGGAGTAGAGAGTGCAGCTGCCTCATTTCTGTGTATCAGAGAATTTTGTGAAAGACAAACTGACGAAAAAGTCTGGAGGAACAAAAGAAAAGCCCAACAAAGAGAAAATCCCCATGCGAGGTACTGCCAGACAAGCAGCATTTCAAAAGGGCAGCAATCCTGAGGACAGGTCAGAGCGGAGGCTGAACCAGCTCTGACGAACAACTTTAATACATCAGTGCTTTTTCTCCCCTGTTTCTTTGTCAGATCTTTCTTTCAATCATTTTACAAAATGTTTTAAGTGTTTACAAAAATTGTACAACTTTACAAACATGTACAAGTTACAAACATTTTTCAAAGAGCCACCAACTCGGCCTTCCTGCTTTTCAGAGTGGCTACAACACTCAGAAAAATAAACCTACATTTCCTGGCTCTTAAGACTCTGGTTCAAGATCCACAGAAACTGCATTGAGGTGAGTGGTACCTACCCAGGTTGGGCGTGCTCGCCGTCCTCTTGTTATTCTTTATCTTGAAAAAGCCTCTCCCAAAGGAAGACCTGGCCTTGCGGGTACCAAAGCTGTCCTCATCTCCTGTGCCACCATGAGAAGGGGACTTTGGAGGCAAGGTCCCAGATCTGCTCCCTTCCACAGGAGGTTTGACCTGCTGAGTTTGGGAAGCAAAGCAAGAACTTGCTGTGAGGGCCTCACAACAGACCTTTTTGGGAGGCTGTACTCATTGCGCTGCTGTCACGCGAGCTGGAGCCTCAGCCCCGCTCGCCAGTGCACAGGGGGCAATTTCAGGAGGAGCAGATTAGCTGACTGTGTCCGCAGMCAAAGCGCAGGGGAATTCAGGCAGCAAGCAAGGGGCACGCATGGCAGGACAGGCATCAAAACCATCAGTTAGCCAACAAAAGTAGTAGTTTTAGCCTTGTAATACCTACTACTAGTAGTGGTTTGTTTCACTGTCTCTATAAAGGAAAGGGGACACRCATCCATCCACAGTCTGAACACCATCCTTTAGCTTTTGCTGGCTGGATGCAGCATTCACCATAACAGAGGTCTCTGATGTACACGGGCTCTGCTAAATCCTTCCAAAAGGCCGTAATTACTGCAGRCAAACTAGGGGGACTTGTGTCCACCCACTGCGTAGCGACAGTCCCTCGAAGAACATAGCAGTCGGTCACAGAAAACAACGTGAAACCCAAGSCTTTTGAGAGGTACTAACCAGAGGCAGCTACAGAGTGGCTAAGCACTTGCGGGTTAGCATTGCTAATGGCAGCGTGGTGGCATTAGCACCACGAAACAGCAGCTCCCAGGGCAGCTTCCTCCTCCACCAGGCTGCAGGGGAGGCCCCGCACGGGAGGGCAAGAGTGTGCAAACGGGGGTGACACATTTAGCACCCTGCTACCACTACATTTACTGTGGGTCTGCCCTTGCCCCGCGCCCGGGCGCTCCTTACCTCCGCCGGCTTCTGCGCCGGGTCCTTCTCCTGTTTGGGGAGGATGAAAGGAAGCAATTTAAGCTTGCAGTTTAACTTGTTGTAGTCATTAATTCAGCTCGCTAGGGCTGAATATCCAGAGTTGCATTCTGATCAAAACACCCTTCCCTGCCTGTTTTCCCTCCCCAAAGAAATCTTTTCAGGGCTGTATTTCACGCAGATTAGTTCTGGTTTTCTTTGAGGCCAGTGAGCTGAGGTGGAAATGGAGTGGCTCTGGCTTCCTTTGTAAAGGATTAGCTGTGTGCCCAGCCAGCCACGTGCCGCTGGACAGAAAGGAAATAACGTGCACAGGGGGCTGAAGGAATTAGGAATTAGGCAGGGCAGAAGCCCTGCAGGTGAAACACCCACAGCCTCCAGGACATGGCTGTGCCAATAAACACACGAACAGAACAAAACAAAAACCCTCCATCGTGAATTCTGGCTTTCAGCACCCAGCTGYGGTTACCCTTTCACTCCTGTCCACATCCCTCCTGAGCAGTTAAGCCCAGCTCAGCAGCTCGGGCGTCAGGAGGAGGATTTAGGAGTCTTTAGCATTTCAGTCTGGCAAAAGGGAGCACGGGGATTACCCTGACTTGGTGACACTGCGATGGGCAAACTGCTTTTGGTCACTCCTGGAGGGATTTAAGCTGAAGCTTTCACCAGATCTGCTCCTGCAGGGAGATGCCCCTGGGCTGCCCTGTCAGGATCCCAATGGTTCGAYGCCACAGCCGGGGAAGCATTTTTAAGGGAAAGGAAGGAATTGCCCAAACTAACCRCTTCCGACGCCTCCTTCTTCAGGCTGCTGAGGCTGCTGGACTTGTGCAGGGAGGAGCTCCTGGAATAAGGGGGTAAAGAACAAACTAAGTGGCCAGGTCTGAGATTTGCTGAGATAAACCCACTCCTGAGAGTCAGCTTTAGGCCAAGCTTTGCAGCACACAGTGAGATGTGCCCACATCTGTCTGAGAAGAGTGGCCACGACAGCCTTCCCCCCACGCAGGTGTAAATGAAGAGCAACTCCACTGTATTTCACAACGTTACCTATCCTTATACCAGCGCAAGGGGRAGCAAAATTGGGCTTTTGGCGTATTCTGATGCCACAAGATAGGTTGCTCAAAATAAAAGCAGCTGATGGGTCTTATGTGGGGCATGAGAGGAGCCCTGTTGACCTAGGACCTTTATGGACAAATCACTTTGATGAACCTGAAGTTCACAAGTAGGCCCTCYGAATTCCCTGGGCAATCAGGCTATACAACGCAAGTTAAAATCACCTTTTCTCACTGTAGTCAGCTCTTTTCCCTTCCCCAAACATAACTATATAACTATCCTATAACTCARTTAGAGATGCTCCATAGTGCTAAAAGAATTAAGTGCACAGATGAAGCACTGGAAAACATCAATCATGAAAACACAGTTCATTAGCAGAAAACCACCACCACTAAGGACTGATGGACTGCACTGCCCTGGCTAAAACAGCTTCAGGTGTTTCAGTGTGTCCATCAGAGGAGGGAGCGGGCTTTGCACAGTCACGGAGGAACGTTTCCAAGCTGTCATTTGGTTAGGATACTTACACTGGGCTGTCACTCAAATGAGTTTCAGGCGAGGAACCAGTTGATCTCAATTCGCTGTGGAAACAAGGAAGGTGTCAAAAGACACGGCACTCRTGGGGCCCTTCTTTAAATGTGGCTGCTAGAGCAACCCTCTCCTCTCGGCCTGCTTTAGAGCTCATTTTCACTCCCGCTGCTGTGGCTGAGGGTGCTGAGCACGGCGTGGCAGACGACCTGCTCCCGTCCCGCACAGGGCACTGCTCCCTCCGGCCCTCGGCCGCCGTGGGGCACCGTCAGGCAAACGCCCGTGGGCTTCGTTCCACCCAAGGCCAGCACCAGGACAGGGGTTTCTCCTGTTCTCCAAAATCCCCGTTCCAGCACCGTTTCCTCCCCAACGTGGTGGTAACTTACAGCAGATTTCTAGAAATCTTTAGTAGCTGTGGAAAATCTCTGACTGCAAAGCAATCCGAAATGCATTGGCATGAGCCAGCACTAACCCAGCCAGGCCAAGGTAAAGCCTATTGGGTGAAAACAGTAGCTATGTGTCAGTTACATGGGCTCTGCTACATGCAATTAGACCAAAACTAATGCTGCCTCATGAAAAACACACATTTTTAATCAATGCATTTGATGAACACACCATTTAGTTCAATACAGGCACTCATATGAATGCTGGCCTTCATTAAGTCACTTAATGACTGGATAGTACGTTAATTAACAGATCACTGCCTTCACTAAACTTCATAAATCTTTGGTCTTACGATCACAAAAGTCATGGAAACAGTAATACCTCATTTCATTTGCAGCTTCTGGTCTAGGCTGTGCTTTTACTTTCTCTGCAACAGTTTCTGGGCTCTTAGACGTTGGTGAAAAAGAAGGGATTGAAACCTGTAAAATACTGGTGTGGATCTGTAAGGAATTCTGAAAAAGACAGACAAAAATACGTATTACATTGAAACAGTTGAAATTAAGGAGTTATAAATGGAAATAMGAATAGCAGGTACTCTATGAAAAGAATTTGCATTTAAAAAAAAATAAAAGATTTTTTTCCTTCCTTCCTTTCTTCCTTCCTTTATAATTTAAAGCTGGTTTACTACTTGAAAGATGGACAGACATGCCTGGAGATAAACTATGAATCACTATACATGTAAACCACAGCAAAAAATCTTTCAAACCTTTTGAGACTGCCTACAAAATCTGTTTCCTAAACACAGACCCCAAAAACAGCAGTTAATTTTTCAGGTTTACTCCTGTCCTTAGTCACTCAAGGGAATTCCAGAAAAGTGGCTAACTGATATTTTAATGTAATTTGCTGTGCGTSCATGTTGTTTAGTTGTCAGCCAAGTCTCCACTTTGACTGAGAGCTCCAACAGAAGAGATCTGTAGTTCAATTACTGCAAAATGTTAATGTAAAATTCAGAGACTGGACCATAATACACTTAATTAATTGAATGGATGTAATGAGAATTGTGTTCCTTTAAATATTTGACAGGAGCCAGTCTCAAGATTTTACTGCAAACTCCCAAGAAATTTGGGAAAATGTGCATATCCTATTACGATATCCTAATATCCCAAATTCATATCCTACAGCAACTACACTTGATCAAAAATAAAGCTTAGATCCAGTCTCATGACAAATACTGCTATCTGTTCTCTTGATCCCATTTGATGATTAAGAAAATAAATTAACCTGAATCCAAAAGAAACTCYTTGGCAGCTTTCACAAGAAACCCCAAAGGATAGGAAAGTGTCCTAAAACTCTGTAACCCGGATGAAACCCTTTCAGAGGCTGAGGTCTGGCTTCTTGAGCAAGGATTAAGGGCATTAAAAGAGGAGGGAACAAAAACACACAATACCTCTTCGTGAAGATTCATGTTAAACTCATCATGGCTTGGAGACACCGTTGCTGGGGTTGGGGATGGACTTTTCTCTGGATCAGTGAGACTCGGTGTGTCCAATAAAACAGATCCTGAATTCAGGAACTCCTCRCTATCGCTTTCCTTGCCTGGAAGGAGAGAAAGGCCAAAATGTGATTTCTGCAAAGGTCTGGGTTTCCACATGGATTTTTGATAGCAGAGTACTGATACTACCAAGAAAATAACCAAAGCAATCAGTATTTTCTAGAAAAAAAAGAAAAAAAATCCCACAAAACTATCATTCATCCATAACCAAAGATCTCATGCAAATATAAGCCGAAGTCTGTTTATGCTGAAAGCCTCCCTTGTCTGTTTTTTAGTGTCTGAAATCTCTGTGCACGCTCCATGAATCAACCATCAGGCCCAACTCCTGGAGACCTGAGGTCATCTCCCATCCCCTTTGCTGCCTTGTCCCCTTGTAGCAGGATTGGCAGAGCTCAAACATTTGATTCCTTCTCCACCAAAATAAATCAGCTACCCGAAAGCGTGAGGCCCACCATGCTAATGTCTGAAACGTCTTGAACACGGGTCTGGCAGAGAACTGTGACCCTCAAAATGCAACTTGAGCACTGAAAGGGCAGGATGATGTGGGGAGARAAAAMCAACATCCATAAATGAGATAAAACATAACAAACGCAGGTATACTGGCAATTCCAGTTTACTAAGGAACGGAAATGTGCCAGCACAAATCTGCTGAAGAACTGGCCTTAACTCTAGCCAAGAGATGCCTCCAAAGATAGGAACTCTGGGAGTCAACATAACTCAAACACCTATAGCGAGAGTTACATGTGCCTACAGCTTTAAACTGGAGTTTAAAATCTTTAAAACTGCACAATACCTTTTTTACCTTGAGCCAGTATCACCATGTCTTGAACTTTTTTGTACCGATTCAGAGAYTGCCGGAGCTCTTCTATCTTCCGATCCTGAAATAAAGGGAAGTTGAACCTGTGTTTCCCCTATGGTAAATCAAATATAAGAAATACAAATAGCAGACATTTTGCAGTTTAGCTGGCTATTGAACTGAAAATGGGAATGGGGATAGGGCAAGACCCAGAACTTTGAGAAGCTTTGAAATATCCAGGACATATATTTAGCAAAACTACCATCTGTTTAATCACCAGAATTGTCCCAGACTTGAAAGCAGATTTCAGCTGCCGAAGTCAAAGCTGGAGCATAATGAATATTGCCACGTACAAAGAAAGAGGTAATCAAGAGACTAGGGACTTTGGGGATCAAAAGAAAAAACYCTGCAGAATGCACATGCATATGAACGCACAAAACCACATGTGAAAACAAGGCCTACTTTCCAGAAGTCCCYGCTGGAAATGTGGCCTGTGGTATTTCACAGGACCTGTGTGGAGCTCCTCACATGTGGAGAGGATGCTGCAGTCCCTCTGAATTTAATGACACTGTTGTGTAAGGACTCTGCGTACACAAGGCAGAGCTCACAAATGTCCAATTTCACCCCTTATAAAGGCACTGCAGTGCCCACGTTTGCAGCCATTCTATGATATTAAACTCAATCTGAGGAACGAATATTGGAAAAAAAGTAGAGATTTTGCTACCTTCTCTTCATTTGCTGCCATTAGAGATTCAACCGCCTTCTTCATTTTCTGTACCTCTATGTCTAAAAACATACAATGTAGTCAATTTAAATGAGATAGTATAAGGAAATGACAAAAACAACCACAAAAGTCAACAATTTCTGAAGGCCAGTTTACAAATTAAAGGACAAACAACAAACCACTTCATCTCTATTTTAGACTGAAATTCAAAGAAGAAAATCCTTTTTTTTTCCCTGCAAAACCTTTTATTTTTACTAATTTTTATCAAGGAAGGGAGCATACGTAGGAAACAACCCTCCCCAAACCATAGGAAAACTACACTGACCTGCACTATCTGACAAATAGTTACACAAGCAGAGCTCCAAAACACAACAGAGTACAACTGGAGCGCGACAAAACCTTTTCTCCAGGGCAGGGGCCGCYCGGCACCCCAGACAGCACCTCCAAAACCTGCCCTACAGAGCAACGGGATTAATGGATGTGATGGAGAAGCGTGTGCAGCGGCGCTTTAGTCGTGACCCGGAGCGGGTGGAGGCATGAGGACAGCATGGAATGGGACAGGCACTCAGCGGGATGAGCAGCCATGCCAGAATATGCTGCAGTTCAAGTCTGAAGAAGGTCCCCAATACAGAACTCTGTGCTTCACCTATAACCCTTTCTTACAGTCAGTAAAATCCTAGGGAGACTTATGGTCTAACCAGCCAAGAGGTTCAATTTTGGAGGTGCTTTAAAGGGAAGGGAACTCACCTTCATTTTTATTTTTGCAAGAATTTACCTTACATAAATTAAGCGAGCTTTAAATTCCATTACAAACCCAGGGAGGTGGCCATACCCCTAGGCAAGCAAGCATTTTACTTTGTTTTAATCTCCTGAAATTCCTCCCCCGAAAAACCCACAGTGAAAAACCCACATTTTCCTCCTTAATGAAATGCAAGAACAAAACAAGCTGCCTGRCTGACTTTCTAGATAAATCACATTTAGATAGACTTGGCTCAAATCCCACCCAATGCAGCTCCAATCACTCTGACTGAGTTATGCTAATGGAAAATCTGGCTTACTGGATTGCCACTGCATTTTACTGAACGGCAACTGTTTTATTTGCATGTGCATCTTAAGGAGAAAAATCTATGCACTTGGCTTTGAAAAGAACCTTCGATAGTCTCCATGAGACCAGCTCTATCTTTGCCCAGCAGCATTTTTTTTTTTCATAAAACTTTGCATTTTGAGTRTGACATAGTCACCCTTATTTTCAAATTTTACTGTGAGTGTAATTAAGGGTTATAGGTRATGCAACCTAAAAGGTGTATGTTAAAACGGTTTTATAAACACATGCAGACAGCTATACTGAAATATAAATACTTGTGGAAAGACACCAGAAACCTTACTTTTATCTTTGAGCTTCTTTTTACAATTTTCATCTGTGCAGGAAAACCCATTGGATTTGAAATTAACACAAAGGTCATGGCATCAAATTACTTTTAACATTACACTGTTACTTAAGGAGCAAATGATTTCCCACATATCGCTGCAGAAGTTTTACCCTGCCCTCTGCTCTTGCTCATGTTCCTAAGGAACCAAATCACCTCACTGTTCTCCTACACAATTACCTGTTTCAAAGGCATTCTTTACCTATGTGTTTTCACTTGTAAGACCTCAAAAAGGCTTTCTGCCAATAAATTACTCCTAAGCTAATACTAGGCAAAAGAACAGACAGTTTATAAGGCATGAATATCTGTTCAAGAACCACAATTCATCTAATGGGGCAGAGAATCTGTTAATTAAGTAACGCAAATAGGATGACTTAGTATTGATCCTAAGCAGCAAAATCATGGATCRTTGTGGGGGAAGATTTCCAACACAGACAGGACCCTCTGGAGCTACACTGAAAACTAAGCTGAGTTTGAGGACCAAAAGGCAGGAGGAGCTCAGCATACCCCACATGAAGGAAAGCCCAGCTAAAGGAGCAACCCAGGCCTTGTTCACATTTACACACTCTACAAAATAAAAAAAGGAATCACAATTCATTGTGGGCAATTCTAGGCTTTGTGGGCATTGTGGGCAAATACACAGTGCTATTTAAACAGGGATTTTTTATTAAATAAAATTTGACAGGCTACATCCTGTGGTTTCTGCCCCAGGCCTGGTAAACAGACTAGTCAACCTCTTGGGGTTTAACATTTCAAAAAAACAGGCAACCTACAATCAGTGATAACCTCCAGTAAAGGCAGGTTCAGAAATGAATTTCCAGATCAAAATCAGTCTGTGAAAAACACTGGGGAGTGTTAACAATTTTCTTTCCTTTTTTTTTTTTTTTTTTAAAA